TGAAGGCTGGGGTGAAGGCTGGGGTGAAGGCTGGGTGAAGGCTGGGGTGAAGGCTGGTGAAGGCTGGTGAAGGCTGGTGAAGGCTGGGCAAAGCCAGGTTGCATGGTTTGGTAGGAAGTGCCACAGACTGGCTTGGACCGCAGAGGTCAGCAGCCGTCCGAGGTCAGGGAGTGGGCAGGGCCGGTTCCTGCCGAGGCTGAGGGGAGATGACATCCTGCCCCCATTTCTGCTGTCTCCTTGTCACCCACTTTTCAGTAGGAACACTAGGGACCACTCGAGGGCCACCCTGGAGAGCACCAAGTACCCGTGAAGGCGCTGTCCCCCAACAGGGCCACCTCACAGGTGCTGGGGCCGGACACCGGGTCTCACCACACTTCCCCCAGCCTGGCCAACACCCAAGGTGAAGGCCCAGCCTCTGTGCCTCCCCTAGGCCTGGGTCCAGGTCCCACTCTCTCCAGCAAGTCCTCCCAGGCCCTCCGGGTGGCCTTGGGATCTGATGTGGGCCTGGAGGGCTGACCACGGGCGTGGGCGATACGTGAGGCAGCCCTTGCTGGTGGCCGCTGTGAACCAGCGCCTGTCTGACGCTGCAGGAGACGGGGGCTGAGGCTGTGTCCGCAGAACCTGCACACGTGGTGGCCCGACACTGGGGCTGGACCTGCCACTCACCCTCCAGCCTGGAGGCCCTCCTTTGCAGACTCCCGGGCCCTGCGTCCCCAGCAGCTGGAGTCAGAGGTGGGAGGGTTGTCACTCAGCAGGCGAGGGCCAGGGGAGGCTGATTGCTCCTGCCTCAGAAACCGGGGCCACCAACAGCCAGGCACTCCTCAGTGACAGGGGACCCTGGGCACCTGGGGGGGCCCAGCAAGTGGTCTGAGAATGGGGACACTCCGTGTCTTTGGGACACACCTGGACGAGGCCAGCTTCCCTGAGCAGTCCTGCCCGGGCCGGCAGGGGTCAGGAGAGGGGCTGGTCAGAGTCATGCAGGTCAGTGGGAAAGGCAGGGCCCCCGTCCGCTCAGACTACCCCCAGGTGCTGCTCTGGGCTTTAGACAGGTCCGTGAGTGGCCTCAGCTGCTCCTGGGACTCAGCGACCCCTCTCTCCCGGTGCCTGGGCCCTCTGAGCCCTGGAGGCAGTGCAGACGCTATTTCCATGGGTGTTGGCAGCGGGGTGCAGAAAGATGCCCGGGGCTCACAGCATGACTCCGTCCCACAGGCCTGGACTCGCCTGCCTTCGTGTCTGCCCTCTCGTGGGCTTAGCGCGTGCTACTGACTTCAGTGTCTCCCAAAGAAAATCCCCGGAATCAACTCTCTGCACGTATCCAGGAAAAGCCAGCTCACAGCGCCACCTTGTGGCCGGTGGGTCAAGATGCAGAGCAGGTGGGATCGGCCTCCTTCCAGGACTCTGCCGCCCAGCGGCCGCAGGCAGGAGCCCTCCTGCCCAGATCCCGAGCGGGCTCCCTCCCACCAGCTTGCAAGATCTGGGGTTCACTTCCCACACCAGCTGCAAGAAGGCTCTGCTGATGTCCCTGTCCTCAGCATCGGGGTCTAAAGCTGCCCTGGCTGGTGGTGTGGGCCAGGACCAGAGGGGGAGCAGTCCCCACAGCCAGGCAGGGCCTGAGCCTGACCCCAGCCACCGAGGCGAGGCCTCAGGAAGAGTGAGACCCCTGCCCTGGGCAGGGTGGGGCGGGGCCTGCACTCCCGGCTTCCATCTCACCCTTTCCTGTTCTCAGTTCCTCCGTTTGTCCAAAGGCAGATTGTACCATAAATCCGATTTTATCAGAAATCACCTTCCAGCCTGCAGCAGGAGCTCTGTGGTGAGCGGCAGGGGCTCTAGTCAGTGTGGGCTCCTCCAAGCTCAGCTCACAGCTCCCTGTGTCCTGAAGGGCCCCTCCTGGCCTTTCCCCGGCCCACAGGGTCTTGGCCTCCACAGCTCTCAGCCTCAGGCTCCAGCCTCTCATCTTGAGCAGGCCTGGGGGCAGTCAGAGCGCAGGGTGGGCGGGCTGCCGAGGCCTGCTGGCCCTCGCAGATTCCACCTGAGCCTGGTGTCTGCAGGCCACGTGAGCTGCACCAGCAGCAGCAGCGGGAGCTTCAGGTGTGCACAGCAAGCTCCCCTGGGGTTTCCTCCTGCTTGGCAGAAGGGAAGAGTTCCTTCTCCCGGAGCCTGGCGGGAGCACAGGCCCCACTGCCCGTGGCCTCCCACTCCCCATGTGGCCTAGGCTGGACACAGCTGAAGACCAAGGCTTGACACAGACTGAAAGTACAGATCTGACCACATCCAGGACCTCATCACCCTGGAAACACCCAACAGAGCAAAGCCCCTGAGAGCTGTGAGCGCAGGGGTCATCTGAGGCCCGAGGCCGTGTGCAGAGGCTCCAGAGAGAGGAGGCCCGTGCTGAGCCTGGGAATAAGACACTGAAAAGAAGGCATGACAGTGGCACTCGCCTGTGGGCTAGCCGCGGTGGTCATGGTGGCCAGCCTCTAGACAGGCCAGGAGACGCTGCTGGTGCAAGTGTGGGTGGCCTGGTCTCCCGAAGGGGACTTGTTGGTGTGTACCAAAGCCATGTGTGTAAGCCCTGGGCCCCGCGAGTCCCTAACCTGTGAGCACCCTGTCACAATCGCTGGTCAGGGCCGTGGCCTGTGAGGCCCCAGGGCTTGGGGAGGCTGAGGTCTATGAAGCAATCGATGGGACAGAGAAGAACGTGGGTGGAGACCACGTGCTACCAGGGTCTTGCAGAGCAAGGCCCCACCCACACAGAGGGCACAGGCCAGAACACCCGGGCAGAGTCCCCAGATGGTCACCTTGGCAGCACGGCTCATGTCAGAGAAGATACAACACGGGGCTGAGCATCTGCTCTTCCCACCTCACAAAAGTGGTCCCATACGTCTGCCAGGTCCCAGACCTGCCAAGGCCACCATCCTCCCTGCCCCAGCTGTGAGCACCGGAGGGGCAACACGAGAGCTGGGTGTCACACTCACATCTGTGACACCTGCAGACTCTGCAGGAAGAGGAGGCTCAGTGCCTGTGGGGACTGTTTCCTTTAATGATGCTTTGAACGTTTGATGGGGTGTAGTGTCCATGGTGCCTGTTTAGTTTTTTAAAAATATAATGAAATAAACGTTTCAAGCGGGCACTAATGTCATCGCCCCCTTCCTGTCTCCTTCCTTCCTATTGGTGACACAGGTGCCCCTGGTATCAATGCTCTTTCCCACTTAGAGGTGAGAGTGAGCATGATCTGTGCAGTGTGCATGGGCGTAAAGTGTGCATGCATCTCATGAGTGGCTGTGGGTGCCCTGTGCAAGTGTGTTCATGCACATGCAGGATTGTGAACATGTGTACGTGTCAGTGTGGGAGGGTGGAGGGCACGAGATCTGCCGTCACCAGACCATCCTGGGCCCCAGGGTGCACCTGCTGTGCACTGCCCTTCCATCCTGTCCTCTTTCTGGGGCTGCCTGACCCCACCTTCTCTCGGTGGCTGGTCTCTGTGGTCAGAGAGTATGGAGCAGGACTTGGGGCAGGAAAACTGAGATCGAGGCTTGCTATGCCCCGACACATGTGGAAACCTTCTGGTGGTCTTCTCCAGCTGCAGGACAGGACGGAGGTGCTGCTACAGCGTGGCCCACCATCCGCCTGCCTAACATGGGTGGAAGCTTGGCTACAGGGTTCCCGGGAATCCTGACCCTCTGCCTGAAGCGCCCAGTGTCTCCAGCCTAACCAGCTGTCGCTGTGCCGACAGCGCCCCCTAGTGCCGAGATATCTCTGAGCACAGAGGCGGCTGAGTTCGCCCAGAGCTGAAGGTGAACCGCTGCTCTGC